ATTCATTAATTCATTAATTCATTTATTCATTTATTCATTTATTCATTTATTCATTTATTCATTTATTCATTTATTCATTTATTCATTTATTCATTTATCAATACACTTCACCACAGTGCCATCGATACACAAGAACTTTACTAGCCAGTCACAACAAGGGCTACAACACGCCCAAGGCTTAGGTAACGTGTCGTAATTTTCATCACATTTCTCGTCCTTTTCTATCGTACTCGGATCCATTACAATTCCATTACAATCTAAAATATCAAAATCAAAACAAATCAAAAAATAAAATGAGATAAGAATGAAAGAAAAGAGGATATCTGTCAAAAGCTATAAGCTCCTTTATCAACTGCACATGTTAATAATTATTTTAAAGTAGGCTCTTATAACAGAAAAATAGAATTTCTAATACTTAGTAAATAATTTATAGAGAAATTGAGGAATGTTGGCAAAATAATATTAAATCATATTTTTTTGTTACAGATGTAGTGTAAGAGAAAGGCTGTAGTCGGCTAAGTTTACTAATTACACAGGTTCTCATTAATCCCATATAGGTAACTGTCCAATTATTTTCTTAATTGGACAGGTCTTGTTGATGTGGGATTAATTAGGCAGCTATATAATTAATAGGTAATGGGATTTCATGCTCCCCAATCAAGAAATAATTAGACTCGAAAAATTCCTGCCAAACTGGACTCGGCCAGCACGGCTTCATTAAATTTTGTCAGTCCTCGGAATTTTCCTCGTCCAATTATTTCTCAATTAGACAACATGGAGTCCTATTACTTATACTAATTTTTTTTCTTATTGGTCCTTTTCAACCATTAATTCAAATTGCACGTCAAACATAATAATTTTAGGAAAATACTAACTTATATTAATTATTTATTATTATATTGACATGAATAGAAATGAAAAAACATCCTGTTGAAAATATTAATTTCGTACGGTTGCCTTGCGGTGCAGATTGCTCAAAAGGAGCTTTTAAAAAGAAGAATATAAACTGCACGAGAAGGAAGTTCATTGCTATTTATTTCTAATTTGCTTTTTCGTAATTTGTTTTATAATGTTTCAACCTTCTTATAATTAGGTGTATTTATCATACGAGGGACGACACTGAGTTTGCGCGTACGTGCCTTTCAGCACGAGATGAATTTAGAAGAGTTTGAGAGAGAATTCGAAAGTAAATGTTTGTTTTCTCCAAGTATACAAAACATTTCGCGAGTATACTTTTTTGAGACCAAGATACTGTATTAACAAACACAATATGAAAGAATTAGCCTTAAGTTTCAAGCATTGTGAAGTCCATTTTCTCAGGCATGTTTGAAAGGCAATTTACGTATTTTTACATGAAGATGTTTTGACTAATTTGCATACGGATTCAGAGCATGCGCAGACGTTACGAGAGACAACTTCGTAGCTATGTGACTATCTGAGCTTTCTCCGGTGATATCACTTTAACAAATARACATCAGTTTTTTATGCGTCTGTCCTTTTATTGTCGATAAATTGCGTCATCACATTGTCGAAGTAGTGTGGATCCACGAGGTGTAGCTGAGTGGATCCGCATACCACTTTGACAATGTGATGACCGAATCTATCGTCAATAAAAGGACAGACGCATAAAAAACTATTTGTTTTTAACAATAACAAAAACGATAACGATTTTAGCGATCAAAACAACCAACGGAAAGAGCGCGCGCTCGTTGACGTCAGTTTATCTGCCTGTCCTCTTATTGATGATAAAAAGTAACCAATCAGCGCGCGAGAAATTTGTAATTGTTATTCTTCGGTGAATAAATGTGTAGCCTGCGTACAGCCGCCCTAACTAACTAAACGCAGGCTAATAAATGTGATACCCTCTTAGAACGGTTCAATATACTGAAAAACAGTAAAATGTGATATATTTAACCACTTGGTACCTTCTTGGCCAATTAGAAGTGGCATGGTAGTAAAATGAACTTGACTTGAAACTGACTTGGTATATTATAACATTGTTTAACAATCTACGTACCTTTTGACATCTCAGTTCGTTTGGATGCAGGTTCAGGGCATTGTGTAGGCAGTGTAGACTTAGCCAAATCAACACCGTTTTTTTGCAGTTCCTCCAGTAGGGCTGTAGAACAGCGTTTTTTGTTCACTCCTGGAAGACAATACCATCGACAAAATGATGATTGAAGTTTTTACTTCAAATTTCATCGAAACCTGAATCAAACTCTGGGCAGATCGAAGTCAAACACGGCTAATCAACTAACATGCAGCATATGATTTGGAATTTAACTTCAATGTTAGGTTTTGTGAAAAACGGAAAAGCATGCACCTCGGAGTCTGAATTAGAGAAAGTACGTTTTTTACAGGTGGGGGAGGGCTGGGGGGATTCGTAGTAATTTTTTTTAATGATTGTAGACCTCCCCCTTTCATTTAGTAAAAAATCATGACCCCCCTCAAAATTATGACCCTCTTCTCAATACAATGAGAAAAAGCTTTCATCAACATCAAAAGGTTTGACCCCTCCCCCTCCCATTCCCTTACCAATAAAACAATAGCAAAACGAAAAGCTGAGACCAGTTCTATAAAAAGATTTGTCTGACTTTGTCTTCATGGTAAGATTCAAATGAAAAACATTTTTTGTTTTGTGTCAATTGTTTTCGTGATCAGTTGGATCCGGAAATATATCAAATATTAAAAGTTAGCATATATCAACTTGTGTACTTCCTAAGATCGCGCACGCTCATTGGTTAATTGGAGGTGAATATTGTACGATATTCACCTCTGAATCTCGAAATATCGAGTCGGCAACAAAATGGCATCTGCCAGCAATCGTTTTGCTACAATTTCCGATGAGGAAATTGAAAAAATGAAAGTAAATGGCATTCCTATCAATACTAAAAAGGCAACGAAGTATGGCCTAAAAGTTTTGCTAAAAATTTTGCGTGAATTTGTCACGCAAACTAAAAGTTTCTGTTTGTTTGTTTTTATTGAATTATTGTATATAAAAATAAGTTACTCTGTACACAAGTTGGTATATGCTAAAACAATTATTCGCCTCAGGCTCAGTGAATATGGAGAATATTTGCCTCACCGCGGCTCGAAGACGACTCGCGTCTCGGTAAATATTCCCCGATATTCACTTCGCCTTCGGAGAATAATTGCTAATTATATTTTCACGTGTCACTAACCTCCAACTTGATAGACCGTATACGTCAAATCACCTCCGCAGCAATTGGCCTCTTTAAGGCACTGACCAACACCTTTCTTTCCTGGGCAAACAATGTTACACTTTTTGCCATCATTCATTACTCGAACTGTATCTGCACCGTGCTGTGGTCCCGAAACCTCATTCAATGGATGCTTTGAAAAACATCCACAAGTTTCCTTGTGAGTAGCAGAGAACATGTAGCCGGCATTCTTACAAAACTCTTGGCAGATATCATTGTTGTTGTTCATATTAAGCTGGGTGGTCTGGAATGACAAACGCGAGCCTTCAAAGCAACCATAGTACTTTGGCGTTGTTGATGCCATTGTGCGTTTCTTGGCATACCTTGATAGAGCAGAGGAATTAAATGCTGTATTCTTGAGCAGACGACGTCCCCTAAAACAATGATAATGAGAATAACTGTTTGCGGTTGGAGAAGAAGGAATGCAATACGATAGATCAGAAACTCTTAAGGGAGTATAAGGAATTTTTTTGATACCATCTAGTTCGTTCCTCATACACTGAATTTACTTAAAGGAGATCAGCTGCAGTTCCCTGCGCCATCTTGAAAGGTAGCCGCGCCTTTGCATCGTAGCGAGACGAACGATGAGCTTGCGATGATAGAGACATACACCGTTCTCATAATGGCTGACGAGCGCATAAAAACGAGGGCGCCCAGTCATCTTGCAAGGCTGAGCAAAGCTGCTCATACAAAATAAAGGTGGATAGCGCGAATTCAGGTCAAAACAAAAAGTCAATTTCTATACTTTTCTTTACTTTCATTCTATGAACGCATTTCATGTGCTTTTATATCTTCTATTGTAAACTAATGACTTGTCAGCCATTATGAGAACGGTGTATGTGAACAATTGTCCAAGGTGTTCAAAAAGGTCTCTAACATTGCAAGCTCATCGTTCGTCTCGCTTCGATGCAAAGGCACGATTACCTTTCAAGATGGCGCAGGGAACTCAAATTTTTAAAAAGTGCGAGTTTTATTTGTTTCGACCTAATAATTTCTAAGAAGTTTCCTGGAGCCTCAAGCCGAACCACTCAAACCATGACAATTAAGCAAAAAGGAGAAAAATAATAATTAAAGAAAATATAAATGGATTTGTACGAACCAACAATCATCGAGACACAAAGCTACAACCAGTAGAAATAGGCAGCGCATTTTGTTCTGTGGGGAAAAAAAACTCATTACATACTTGACGCATTTGCAAGTAAAATATGATATACGTGATTGTCTAGTAAAAGTTGTTTAAAAATGAAAAAAAAGGAAAGCTTTTATAAGAGAGAGAAAGAAAGAGAAAGGGAAAGAGAGAGAGAGAGGGGGGGGGGAGGGAGAGAATGAATGAATGAATGAATGAATGCACCTTTATTTGAGGACGATAGTTTCATAAGTGTCATACACTTCTTTACATGAAAGAGAGAGAGAGAGAGAGAGAGAATAATAGTTAAAAAACAGTGACTAATGTAAAAAAGTTCTTTAAATAAAAAATAACTTTGTTACTTCCTGTAGGCTTTACATCGATACCAAGGAATACAATGTTAATAGATAACGGTCAAATGTAAAATTCAAACCATCTTACCATGAGTTTCAACTTTATACAACTTTACTTAGTGTCAAGTAAAAGGGCAGTTATCAATAACATGCTTTACTGTTTAATTGTCCTATATATAACCGGCATTACCTGCCATCTCATGCCACAAGTTTAAAGTCATTTCACGCGCTGACAAGCTGGTATTTCATCACACAAGTAGAAAAAATCAATGAAACTGATTTTCACGCTGAAACACCTTTCTGGAATATGCAATGCAACCAGTGGGGGGAGGGGCGGGAGTAATTCCTCTTCTCAAGTGGTAGGGGTGATCGGGGTTTGGTTTCGAAAACGTTAACAAAGCCTGAATTAAGGTATACGCGTAATAAATAAAAAATCAAAAGATCTATAAAAAGACATATTGATCTTAACCCCTAAAAGAGGGTGCCAATGGGTCTAGTAGTTAACTGAGAAATAACCTAAAATTAGTAGTTAACAGTTAAGTGATCTTTCATTTAATATTATGGCCAGCGCTCGTAAGGTTCAGTGATTGCTAATATCGTTCAATCAATCAGTGACTGCACATCTTCCTTAATTCTGTTCTTTCATGTTCGTTCAATAAAGAAAATAAATACATATATCACCATTGATGCTAAAAGGCACGGAGTCATGTTTTACTTTTAAAAGGTTCCCACAGGAAATAATGATACTAATAAATAATTAATACTTAGTATATGAACATCGATGAAATATATATTTTTGTACAAATTGTATTTCATCGCTCATTTGCAAGATATCATCTCAACACTCGTATACAAATTCGTATCTCCGCGCGGCCATTTCATATCCTCTATTTCCAACTTTGAAAATGACTGCCGATCACCCAATACCACTTACACCATGAGCGGCTTTTTCTCCTTGTCATTATATATTATCGTTTCATTTGAAAACCAAATTCCATATTTCCAGTTTACTCTGGAATTTTGTCCACAGATCACCGAGAAAGATGGGTGGAGTAACACCTGCAATTGCTGAGTGTTGGCAATAAGATAATAAATCACATTTTTTGACAGATGACAGGTGATCAAAGGAATTGAGCGAAGCAACACCTCGATCTTATGATTTTGAAAAACGTGGGCCATTGATAAGAAGAAAAGGGTGCCCGGTGTGTAGCAAGACATGCTAATTGTCGTAACGAAACCTGCTTCTTAGGAATGCATTAGTATATTTTCAATAATTTATCCACCTTTGCTTCAATTTGGAACAAATTTACACGCTGACGTCGTGACGAGCTGGTATTTAATCACACAAGTAAAAAAAAAAGGAAAAAAAAATCAATGAAACTGATTTTCACGCTTCAAACACCTTTCTGGAATGTTTTGTGGACAAAATACCATAGCACAATGCAACCGGTGTTGGGGTTGGGGGGGGTTCTCTTCTCTTCTCAAATTTCTTTTCTCAGTTTACTATGAAATTTTGTCCACAGATCATAGAGAAAAATGGGTGGAGTAACACCTGCAATTGCTGAGTGTTGGCAATAAGATAATAAATCACATTTTTTGACAGATGACAGATGATCAAAGGAATTGAGCGAAGCAACACCTCGATCTTACGTTTTTGAGAAACGTGGGCCATTGATAAGAATAAAAGGGTGCCCGGTGTGTAGCAAGACATGCTAATGGGTGTAACGAAACCTGCTTCTTAGGAATGCATTTGTCTATTTTCAACGTCCACATTTGTTTCTTTTTGGAAGGAATTTTCACATCGAATTCGAACAAAAGTTATGTCTTTTTAAATAATGTTATATATATTTATTTTGTACTGCGGTTTGCATAAACTTTTGTGCATACATACAAGCATATCAGAATTATATCAAAAATTAAGAGATATGATTCCTGATATTTTTTTCGGGTTGTCCATTACTAAGGGCTTTCTGGAAAAAATATCAGGGGTGATATCTCTAATTTTTGATATACTTTTAATATACTTGTATATATGCACAAAAGGATTCAAAGTTTATGCAAACCGCAGTACAATAAATATATATCATATTTATGTATATAATATATAGATATAGATATAGATATATACATTCAACAGTTTACAAATATATATAACAGTTTTCAATTACTAGAGCAATACCTGTTATTGAGGAATGTAGACAATTAATAATGAGGACATGGGCTGTAGCAAGACCTGCTTCTTAAAAATGCATTACTTGCTTTTGGAACTGGTATTTTTACGACGGAAAAAAATCTATACTATACAGTTTGTAGAATACCTTTAACACCAACCACTCTTAAATGGCTTTTTAAATGAATATAAAGAATTAAAATTACTTAAAGCCATTTTTTGGTGAAAATATAATATTAATAATGCGAAAACAGAACTTTTTGTCACAGCAAATCAAATCTTTAGACATTGAATTCAAAGGAAATCTCTATTTTGTATTGATACGATGTTTAATTGCGCCAAATTCATTTAGTTAACAATTTTATTTTGTACCTTTTTTTAAAAGACAAAAAGTGACAAATTTTGTCAAAATCCCGATGATCGTAAATTTACCTCTCTGGCAGAGTTTAAAGGGAAATGTATAACGATCCCGCAATACTATGGACTATGGAAATGAAGTTAAGGACAACATTACTGGCTTCTATATCAACATTTTCGAATTCATACAATACCGATGTGTGCCTTGATTACAGACTTATTTTGTCATGGTTAGGACCGATCACGAGTCTCCTCTGCAGGCGTTTTTTGTATCGGTCTGAAATCTTTCCTGAAATTTCGAACGCGAAAAACGGCTGTTGAGGAGACTAGTCTCATTTCAGTATCAGAATATTTACAAATACCAAAGGAAAAGTAAAGAATGTACAACTTTAACAATACAAACACTTAGAAATTTGAAGGACTTCAGTGGAACACATGAATATTCTACACAGCAAAAATCGAGGCTTATTCTGAGCAACGGAGAATACGAAAATAAAATGATTCTACCCTCCACAAGCTCGTACGCAGGGTTTGAAAATTTCCTGAATTTTCATAGATCATCGAGCAAATGGACTTTTCTCACGCGGGAGCCATCTTCACTGGAACAATGGATTTTTCCCCCACGTAGCTTCGCATTCAAACGCTTCAGATGAGTTTACGAGGCTGCCGTGTGATAAACGTCCATTCCATTTAGATTCACTTCTAACTACTTCAAAGAATAAACAGGTAATCCAAGCCAGATTAAAATACAGTATATAGTCTCAGTCAGCGCCTCTCTAGCAGAATTCCACAGGTAACCCGTAAATGTCTAAAACTTTTTGTTTGCATTTTTCTGGCTTTTGGAACAATAGACCTCCTCGGCTCTGGAGCCCTCGAGTGTTGTCCCATTTCAGACCACGTGTCATTCCCTTGAGAATAGTATTCTTTGTTTAAGTTGTATCCATATTCATGTGTCTTCTCATGTGCAACCGCACCTTAAACAAAGAAATGATACTCTAGGGAATGACACGTGGTCTGAAATGGGAAAACATTACGTCAGAGCCGAGGAGGTCTATTTTTAGAACTTCAACCACGAAAATGTTCTAGAATTCCTGACTTTTGTCGTTAGCTCACTGAAAACCCTATCATTGTACCTGTTTTTACCTGAATTTAAGTAAATTGGAGTTCAAAAGTTTAAATGTAATGAAACTGCAGTTTCAGTAAACGCCTGAACGATTCACGAAAGTCTCTATTATGAAAGGCATACAGGAATGGGTTGAGAGCGCTGTTCATGTAGGCCAGTAGTAGAGTCAACGTGATGACTTCTTCTGGTGTGTTGTCGTAACATTTCCTTCCACACAGGATCGAAGCGCTTGATACGAGTGTGTACGGCATCCAGCAGAATAAAAACGCAGAAACAAGGATAGCGATAGTTTTTGCAGCTTTTATATTCTTGCTCATGCTACGACGTTCACTAGTTCCCCCGCCATTCGTACCAGAGTTATACTCGACAGCCGAGTGCGAAATATTCTCATGCCTTCCAATCCTTCGAGCATGCGCATGAGCTACTTTATATATCTTGAAATACAACACGCACATGACGATGGTAGGTATGACGAAGTTAATCACGGAGCTGACAACCGAGTATGCAGGCTTTATATTAAAGTGACAAGTACCGTATAACACGCTTGAAGGATACATTGGCCATCCAGCCATTGCGATAACGGTAAAGAGGATCGCATAGGTCCATAATGAGAAGATGGACGCCACAATAACCTTGGGTGTCATGATATTCGAATAATGCAGCGGATTAGCTATGGCGTTATACCTATCGATACTGACTGCCAATAGGTTGAGCATGGATAATGGCGCAGCTATAAGATAAGCCACGGTGAATATATTACACATAGCTTCTCCGTATGTCCATTTATAGTTCTTCAGCACTTGATCAACGTCCATGGGCATCACAATGATCGCTGTTATGATATCACTTAAAGAGAGAGAGAAGATAAAATAATTGGTAAAATGAGTCCGAAGCCGTTCGTGAATGAGTATTGCTGAGCATATTAAGATGTTGCCGAGAAGTGCGACGATTATGACCAATACTTGCATCACCATTATGGTGATGTTGAAACCATTTTTGGGCTGTACAAAGTCTTCTGTAGTTGGTGTTAGGTTGTGAGAGCTTGTAGAATTGTGAATCATTACTGAGGGCATCGTGGATTAAATGATAGATATTTTAATCCTTCTCCTTATGAAAAGTCAGCAACCTATAAAAAAACGAAAAAGAAAAAAAAAATCAATAATAAAAAAAATTGATAACTCATTTGTATTTCTCCAGGGTAGCCCCTTCAGTTACGATGTAACTGTAATCAATGGGAGATTTTAAGTATACAAGTATAAAAAAAAAATTTAATGATACGAGGAAATAAATACATGAATGTGGAAAAAAGGATAAAGGAAGCAGAGGAAAATACTATTTTGGGGTTGCAAGTGGACGTCAATCAAAAGGGTTTCTATCATTTCTATTGGTTTCTACACCAGGACTGATGTAAATACTCACGTGAACACGTGCAAATGTGCAAAATAGTTGTCCTTATCTCATGCTTCTTGTCGCTGTGAATTTCTCACTCTCAGGATATATTTTCTCAAAAATGTCACAGGATTCCGGCTCCGAATCTTATCGCTTGATTGCAAAGCTATCGCTATGGCTATGATTTGAGTTTTTTCAAGATAGGATAAGTCAATACTGATAGTTTGCAGTTAAACGTTTAAAATTCGGAGTCGAAATCCTTAGACATGTTTAAGAAACCCTTTTGATTGACGTCCACCAAAACTCGATTCTTCGTTTGTGATTTTGGTCTCACTTGGTCGCGTGTGACTGGGAATCGCAGTAATAAATGAATGAATGGATGAGTTTTATAAGCCTTTTCATAATTTAAGAATGGATTCCACTGCGCATGCGATTTTATCCCGAATTTTCTCACCCTCTTTTGTCTAAACCTTCTYTTGTTCTTAATTAAACAAAAGAAGGTGTGAAATTTGGGATAAAATCGCATGTGCAGTGGAATCCATTTTTAAACTATGAAAAGGCTTATTGAGTAGACGATTTTCCGGTCTTAATGAAAACCAATATTTCATTTTGCATTATAATAACAAGCTTTGCTTTGGAGTTTACCTACTTTAGGTATTTAGTGTGTTAGTCCCTACTGAACTGCGCTAAGTAAATCTGATCTGTCCTTGAACCATGTCCATTAACTAAATAATTTTAAAAACTCACTGTCTTGAAAAAAAGACAATATGACAAAGCTGGAGGCGCCATTGTGGACGATATGCAAAACGAAATATCAAGTCATATATAAAAATTAGGTGTTATCGTTGTTTGAAAATGAGGTAAGAACTTATTATTATTATTATTATTATTATTATTATTATTATTATTATTATTATTTGTCAAATATACCACGCTTTCACTTTTCGATACAAGACTCTCTCATTACAACTAATGCATATAGTGATAAAAAGAAGAAGAAGAAGAAGAAGAAGAAGAAGAAACTATTGCCTAGTAAGTGTAATCTTTAAAAGGGATTTTAAAACGGAACCTGATGATAAATGAGGATGTTGGTCTTATATAATTAATAATGCAGCTTTAGGACTTATTTTGTCCATTCATTTATTTATGGAATTATCTGCAATTGTCAGTTTTGACCCGACGTTTCGCTACCATACTTGGTCTTCTTCCCAGAATCTGGTGTTGTTGAGATTGCCGAGTATTCCCAGAAAATGAACGAACGAAATGAGCGACAGCTGCACGAACAAGGTTTCAGACATGCACTTTAGGAAGATGGTTTAATGAAGAGAAAGTACTAGCTATTTCCCAGCATATAACACTAAATATATTCCTGAGTGTTATACTTGCACTTCAAAAGAATACTACTTAGCAACCGACAAGATCGAAAGAATTAATTAAATGCTCCTTTTCTTATTTTTATCCCAAACTTTTATCCCTTTTTTTTCTTTCTAGTTTTGTGGCTAAAGTTTCTATGATCTGGATAAGAGCACAAGCACGCATGATACTCGAAAATTAAGCTATATCTCTTCCTTTTTTCTTCTCTTCTAAATTTTATCCAAATTTCCCTTCTAATGTTGTAGCTGTACAGCTATAATTTCATTGATCTAAATGAGAGCACAACCACTGTACTCGAAAATTAAGCTATGAAATAATGAAAAATTGATGTTTAAAACAAACGAAAAGTGTAACAAATGCATCGAGATAAGAAATACGAAAATGAACGTGTTTATGAATGAATTCTGGCATGAGTTTTCATTAATGGCCTTTTTAAAACACCAACGATCAGTAAGTAAAATACGATTTTATTGGGCGGGTGAAAACTATTTCGTGATATTCACGGCACGAAACGCTAACCACGTACAGGCCCTACTAGGACAACTCTTTTTGACTTACATTCGTAACTAAAGATGATAATAGCCTTTAAATTTTATCGAACCTTGAAACAACCTCTGGGCCGATCTAAGTCAGTGCACGGCTAACTCACAGATTGAACCCTGAAACAACCGGCTGTACCGATCATAGCCAGGGCACGGCTAACTCACGGCTAAATCGGGTTTCTAATCTTTATGTGGTTTTTTGCTTTCTCCTAATGTGTGATAGATATTTCAGTGTATTCGTTTTTACCAATCTCATAACCTCAGTAACGCTAAACAACCCAGGTTCTAATATATTTATCCGTACACTTCCCTTCCAACCAACTTTGCAGTTAACTCGATAGTCTAAACACAAAATAATATATACTCATTAAGCTTTAACTCGGGAAGATATATACTATAATACAGACCTTTTAAGCTGCCTGTGTTTACATTAGGACGAGTGACAGCACTTGTTGTACACACGTCGAGCTGCTAAACCAAATGCATCAGATATGAGCGTCCTCGAAGACTTTAGTCATTAGAATCTCATGTATGTAAAAGGAAATCCCTTGAGGCGAATGTTGGTGCTCAGCGTGTTGATAATGGACCAGGCAGGGCTAAGATAGTTAATTTTTTCGACGTCTAATTGAACGGCTTTTGGTACATATTGATCTTATCATTGATAAAGGCCTATTATAGACTGGAGAGACTTTCCTGCTTCAAGGAATAAAAYATCTTTTTGAAATCCTATTAAGCAGGATTTAATATGATATCATGAAAAAAAGCAAAATTTTAGATAATTTCAGGCTAACTGACTTGAATTTTCTTGGTTCTGTTTAGGGATGAGTCATTGAGACACCGAGTCACCGAGTCACCGAGTCACCGAGTCACCGAGTCACCGAGTCA